ATCTGAAGAATGTAAAAGAACATAGGAAGGCCGAAGTCCTTTCTCACCACTGTTATCAGTCTACTATATCCTATAGATTTGCATTTGTAATTGTGTGTTTGGAAATAGAGCATTTTCTGAGTCTGTGCTTTAGTCTATGTAATCACATCCTACATGTTTCTACAACCTTTTTTTTTTGCCCCCACTCAGTGCCTTAGAGGGCTTTCCATATCAGTCTGCGTGGAGCTGCCTCATTATGTTTACTGCTGCATAGGACCCTGCAGTGTGGTTATCTCCAATTTCAAGTGCAGTGTTCTAACGGGTCTGTTTTTCCTTAACATCTGCCAACACTGAATATTGTCTTCTTTTTTAATCTGTCTAATTGGCAGCATTTTAAATGATTGGTATCTCTTTGTTTTAGTTACCTAGTTCTGGTAAAGTTAGGCATATTTGCATACATTTGTTCTGGGTTTTTTTTTTTTTTCCTATAAATATTCTGTTCTTATCCTTTGCCCACTTTTTAATTGGATCTTTGCCTTTTTTAATGTATTTATAGGAATTTTGGTTATTCCTTTGTTATTTATGTTCCAAATATTTTGCTTGTCTTTTTAAAAATCATATTAGCTTTATTTTGTGGTTATAGAATAATACATACAGTAAAAAAATTAGAAAATTATTAAAATAAAAATTATCTGATCATATTCAAGTAAGATTGACAGAAAAAAAATCTGAAAGCCATTAAGGCAGAGACAATCACTGTTAACATGTGGGTAAACATCCTTACATATTTCTGTATCTATTCATATGTATTACCCATGTATATTGTCTAGTATATAAGAAATCATGGCCATGGAAGGGGATATGTATTTAAAGCCTATTTCACACTGTTGTCATTATAAAACTTCTTAGAAAAGATAGATTAAAAGCAGAACTTTCTCAGTACCTTTATTTGCCTTCTTTCCCAGAAGTTCTCCTTCTATGTTTTTTCCCCTCATAGTTCCCAAGCCACCTCCTCAGTTGGCGTCGCTGTCACTGTTAAGCAACAGTCAATACCTGCTATTTTCTCTCCTGACCCTCACCCTGATCTAGGGACTCTAGAGGCACTTCTTCCTCGTCTCTTAGATCAGCATTTCCACTGGCACCTTTGTCTAGCTCCTGCGCTTGTCTCGTAATTTTGTGTATAGTGTTTTTTCCATCATGCTAGAGTTTCAGACTGTTTGTTGCTACATTTTTCAGCTTTTTTATGGCTTCTAGATTTTGTGTCCTACTTAAAAAGATCTATTCTGTTCCAGGATTATAAAAATATTTCCCTATATTTTCCAAAAATACCCATGATTTTGTATTTTAAAAATTCATTTAAAAATTCATTTGCAGTTTATTTTTGCAAATGTTGTGAAGTAGAGCTCCAGCTTCATTGTTTTCATATGGATAGCCAGGTATCTCTAAATTGCATTGTGTGTGTGTGTGTGTGTGTGTGTGTGTATGTGTGTTTTGTTTTGTTTTTTTTTAGAGACAGAGTCTCAGTCCGTTGACCAGGCTGGAGTGCAGTAGCAAGATCACATAGCTCACACAGCCTCAAACTCTTAGCCTCTAGCAAACCTCCTTCCTTATCCTCCCAAGTAGCTGGGACTACAGGAATGAGCCACCACACCCAGCTAATTTTTTTTTTTTTTGTAGAGATGGAGTCTCACTATGTTGCCCAGGCTGGTTTCAAACTCTTGGCCTCAAGCAATCCTCCCACCTCATTCAACATTACATTTTGTTTAATTAGTTATTTTGAGACAGAGTCTTGCTTTGTCGCCCAGACTGGAGTGCAGCGGTGCAATTCTCGTCTCGGCTCACTGCAACCTCCGCCTCCTGGGTTCGAGCGATTCTCCTGCCTCAGCCTCCAGAATAGCTGGGATTACAGCCCCACGCCACCATGCCTGGCTAAATTTTGTGTTTTTAGTAAGAGATGGGGTTTCACCATGTTGGCCAGGTTGGTCTCGAACTCCTGGCCTCAAATGATCCCACTACCTCAGCTTCCCAAAGTGCTGGGATTACAGGTGTGTGTCACTGTGCCCACACAACATTATATTTTAAATGGTTTTTCCTTTTTTTTTTTACTGGCTTGTATACCACCCTTATCTCTCTTCTCATCTACTGATCTATTTAGCTACCCTATATCAGTTCCAGGGTTGCAGTTATTACAAGTTTATATTTATATTTTGATAATAATAGGCAAGTCTACCACTTTTTTTTTTTTTTTTTTGAGACAAGGTCTCACTCTGTCAACCATGCTGGAGTACAGTGACATGATCACAGCTTGCTGCTGCCTTGACCTCCTAGGCTCAGGTGATCCTCCCACCTCAGCCTCACAAGTAGCTGAGACTACAGGCACAGGCCACTATGCCAGATAATTTTTTGTAGAGATGGAGTTTTGCCGTGTTGCCCATGGCAAAAGCCATGGGCTCAAACGATTCGCCCACCTCAGCCTCCCAAAGTGCTGGGAGTACAGGCATGGGCTCCTGCGCCTGGCTACCACTATTTTTTTCTGAACATTTCCAAGGCCTGGATCTGCCTGTCATGGTGTTTTAAAAAACCTTTTAGGCCAGCACTTTGGGAGGCCAAGGCAAGTAGACTGCTTGAGGCCAGGAGTTCGAGACCAATCTGGCCAACATAGCGAAACCCCGTCTCTACTGAAAAACAATACAAAAAATTAGCAGGATGTGGTAACACGCACCTGTAGTCTCAGCTACTCGAGAGGCTGAGGCTTGAGAATCACTTGAACCTGGGAGGTGGAGGTTGCAGTGAGCTGAGATTGCGCCACTGCACTCCAGCCTGGCAACAGAGCAAGACTCCATCTCAAAAACAAACAAAACCACCTTTTAGGCATTTTGATTAGCATCACTTTGAATTTATAGATTTATTTGAAAAGATGAGCCAGAGTTTGTAAACATTTTTTCTACTGCCTCCTTCATTAGTTGAGGAGCCACAGGCAGTTTGGCTGCAGAGGGGAGGGGATTGGGGTGAGACTGGAGCAAGGAGAGCAGGTTTGGGTGGGGCAGAGAGGATGGACTAGCTCTTGGTGGATGGGATTGGTCAGGGAGTCCGATGATGCCATGGCTGGGAGGTCAGGCAAGACTCCTTGGGATGGGGAGCCCCAACGTCTCTTCTCTTGTCAGAGAGAAGCTAGTGAAGATGCTGGTGGAGCTGCTGACCAACCAGGTGGGAGAGAAGATGGTGGTGGTGCAGGCCCTGCGCCTCCTTTACCTGCTCATGACCAAGCACGAGTGGCGACCGCTCTTTGCCAGGGAGGGTGGCATCTATGCTGTACTGGTCTGCATGCAAGAATATAAGACTTCTGTCTTGGTGCAGCAGGCTGGGCTGGCGGTGAGTACATTGGGCCTGGCGGGAGAGAACAATGGGCAAGACAGGCAGATTGGGGACTACTGATCTTGAGGAAATACTTTGGTGCTTCAGACCAGTGAGTAGATTTTGGAATGGAAAGATGGAGATGGATTTAAGAGTTTGATCCAGACATTCTTGGGGATTGAGTGTTTGGAAAAAGGAAAAAGGGAGTTTTGGAGTTATTTTTGGTGGAGACAGGATCTTGCTATGTTGCCCAGACTGATCTTGAACTCCTGGGCTCAAGTGATCCTCCCACCTCAGCCTCCCAAAGTGCTGAGATTATAGGCATGAGCCACTGTGCCAGGCCAGGAGGCTTTTTGTTTGTTTGTTTGTGACGGAGTTTCTCTCTGTTGCCTAGGCTGGAGTGCAGTGGCGCTGTCTCAGCTCACTACAACCTCCACCTCCTGGGTTCAAGTGATTCTCTTGCCTCAGCCTCCTGGGATTACAGGCATGAGCCACCATGCCCGGCCCAGGCCAGGGTTAAGAATGACTCCCAGGTGTAAAATTAAGCAGCAGGGTTGCATGAAGTGGCCATTTACCGAGAGAGAATGTGGCAGGAGGAGGAGATATGGGGAGAAGGTCAGGAGTTGAGTTTTCAGGTTTGTTGAGTGTTCCTGCCTTTTTAGTTATGATTAGGTGTCTGGTTAAAAACTAATTTTCTAGATGTGACCAAAAAGTTTTTTTTTTCCTCTTTTATCCAAGTGGCACCCTTGTGTAGAAAATACTCTGTTACTAGATTTGGGTAAAACAAAGCCAGCATTGCCATTGCCCAGAGAATCGGGAAGGAAGGCCCTTATCCAGAGTAGCTTACAGAAGAATTGGCTTACTGGTTACTCCAGACAGAAGTGCTGGCAGGTAGGGTGGTGCAGGCAGAAGAGCTCTGTATAGCCTGAGGGTTCCTGAGGGAGACAGGCCGGCTTTGGCCAGAGCAGTTCTGAGAATGTATTCCAGTAGTATAATGGCAGCAGCATGAACGGGAGCACGTGTCCTCTTAGAGCAGGCTGTCCTGGGAGAGGCCAGGAGGCTCCCTTCCATTACCTTCCCTCCTGTTCCCTCTCCTCCTGTCCCCTCCCCTCCCGTCCTCTCTCCTCCTGTCTCCTCCCTCCCCTCCCCTCCTCCTCCCTCTCTCCCTCCCTCCCTACCTCCCTCCCTCCCTCCCTCCCTTCCTTTCTTCCTTCCTTCCTTCCTTTCCTTCTTTTTTTTTTTTAACAGAGTCTTGCGCTGTCGTCCAGGCTAGAGTGCAGTGGTGCGATCTCAGCTCACTGCAACCTCTGCCTCCCGGGTTCAAGCAATTCTCCCACCTCAGCCTCCTGAGTAGCAGGGATTACAGGTGCGTGCCACCATGCCCAGCTTAATTTTTTGTATTTTTAGTAGAGACGGGGTTTCACCATGTTGGCCAGGATGTGTTGCTCTCCTGAGCTCGTGATCCTCCCGCCTCGGTCTCCCAAAGTGCTGGGATTACAGGTGTGAGCCACCACATCCAGCCTGGGGGTACTTTTCTTTATGGGACCAAGAGCAGCCAGGCATTCATAGTCTAGACCATCATGCTCAAAGAATTCTCTGATCCTCTCAAATTACATGACCAAAACATAGCAATTGTCATCCACTATAAACATGGCAAAAAAAATAAAAATAAAAATGGCTGGGCATGGTGGCTCATGCCTGTAATTCCAGCGCTTTGGGAGACCAAGACGGGTGGAACACCTGAGGTCTGAAGTTTAAGACCAGCCTGGCCAACATGGTAAAACCCTGTCTCTACTAAAAATACAAAATTAGCCGGGCATGGTGGTACATGCCTGTAATTCCAGCTACTTGGGAGGCTGAGGCGGGAGAATTGCTTGAACCTAGGACAGGGAGGTTGCTGTGAGCTGAGATTGCGCCATTGCACTCCAGCCTGGGTGACAGAGTGAGACTTCATCTCAAAAAAATCTTGCCCTGAAATAAAATTATGTCATCTTGTTAATAACTTAAAGTCTACAGAACTCAGCTAACTGGGGCAGGGTGGTGTAACTACAGGGAGAAATCTTCATTGAGAAGTAGAAGTTGCTTGGAGGGTCCAGGCCTTACAAGAGGGATTGTCCTGAGAATTACTTCTAGCCCAGTCCATCTCTCGTGGGTTTCTTGTAGAGAATCAACCCTTTCACCAGGAGAGACAATTTCCGCTGTGATTGTGCAGTATCTATTTTAATTTAATTTTTCTCTATAGTCCCAGCAAACAAGTTTACACGTTACAATAATTTTTCCTATAATGCCAACCACTGCCTGTGAGACAACCAAGAAGTCTTGTCTAGAAGGGCTGGATACTGGCTAAGGCCAGGAGACACAGGTTTTGGAGACTTGGCGTATAGGTGGTAATTGAAGCAATGGGAATGAACCTGGTTGCCTCAGTGTGGGTGAGTGCAGAGTCCAGAGAAAGGGGACAAGGAACCTCAGTTCCTTGGGGCAAAGGAACACCAGAGAGGTAGGAGAAATGCCAGGAGGATGTGAAGTCATGGAGCTCAAGGGAAGAGAGATTTTGCAAAGGAAGGAGTGCAAGTGAGATGGGAGACAACTGTGAGAAGCCCCTGAAGACAACTAGATGCTGGGAGGGGCACCATCCTGAGGGGAAGATACAGGAGGGGTGGCTGTCCCACTCCGGTAGCCTTGGTGCTGCGAGCCTGGGGGTCGAGAGGAGTGGAAGGCTGATTTTACCATCCAGTCTCAGGGTTTTTTGTTGTTTAGTTTCTTTTTTCTTTTCCTTCCTCCCTGCCTCCTTCCCTCTCTTTGTAGTGTTTGATATCCCATCACTACCTCTTCCATTTCTGTCTCCTATTCTACCTATTTGCAAACAGCTCAGGTGCCCCAAAGTTTGAGGTCTAGAATGAGGCTTCCCTTTCCTCATGGTGGCTTTGCCCCCTCCTCACTCTGCTCTCACATCCCCCTCACAGGCACTGAAGATGCTGGCCATCGCCAGCTCCTCGGAGATCCCCACTTTTGTTACTGGCCGAGATTCTATCCACTCTTTGTTTGATGCTCAGATGACCAGAGAGATCTTCGCCAGCATCGACTCAGCTACACGCCCGGGCTCTGAGAGCCTGCTCCTCACTATTCCTGCAGCCGTGATCCTGATGCTGAACACCGAGGGGTCAGGGCGTTACCCTCCCAACTCCAGGCTCCTGCTTAGTCCCAAACCCTGCTACTCCTGTGCTCCAGGCTCATGTTCTCCACAGAAATTCCCCTCGTGTTGTCACCTCTGGATTAAGCAATTGTTGTTGGAAGAGAATGCAAGTGGATTGGGGATAGGGAGATTCCCAGAGAGGGCAGAGACACACTGACCTCCCTTTATGGGTTTGGGAGGAGTGGCCTGAGGTCAGGGGATCAGATGTCCTGGCTCAGAGGGCCCACTGGAGCCCTTTGCTCCCTAGCTGCCCAGCCCTCTGTGCTTGCTTTGCTGCTTCCATTGCATTCATGGTCTCTAAGGTTCTTCCTGGTCACCTCCCTCCTCCCAGGTGCTCTTCTGCAGCGAGAAATGGCTTGCTCCTGCTCAACCTGCTTTTGTGCAACCACCACACTCTGGGAGACCAGATTATAACCAGAGAGCTGAGAGACACGTTGTTTAGGCACTCAGGGATAGCACCAGGGACAGAACCTATGCCTACCACACGCACCATCCTCATGATGCTTCTCAATCGCTACTCAGAGCCGCCGGGCAGCCCTGAGCATGCAGGTATCATTGTGGAGGGGTGGTTTTGCAGAGGAATCACACAGTGCCAGCCAGTGACCATGAAGGCTAAGGTTTACATATCAGCTCCTTACTGGAAAGATACAAGGAGACTTCAGGAAATGAGTGAGCATTGTGGTGCTCAAGTTAGGTCTTAAGTAGAATTTCCCAACCAAGAAGAGGGAGACTGTGGAATATGTGCAAGGAAATTGCTGTTGCCCAGGCTGAAGTACAGTGGCACGATCTCAGCTCACTGCAACCTCCGCCTCCCGGGTTCAAGGAATTATCCTGCCCCAGCCTCCTGAGTAGCTGGCATTACAGGCGCATGCCACCATGCCTGGCTAATTTTTGTGTATTTAGTAGAGACGGGTTCACCGTGTTGGTCAGGCTGGTCTCGAACTCCTGACCTCGTGATCTGCCCGCCTTGGCCTCCCAAAGTACTGGGATTACAGGCGTGAGCCACTGTGCCTGGCCTAAGTTTGACTTTCTCTTCACAGAATAGGGAGGCCTTCTTAAGAGGAATTATAATTTATGGTACAGAACGCTTGTGCCTGGAAACATTAAATATTGATACTGGGGAAGAAACCCTTTGTGATTGAAAAACAAGTGAAAACCTAGAAGTACGGAGGGATATTGAAATAGGAAATATGTGGCCGGATGCAATAGCTCACGCCTTTAATCCCAGCACTTTGGGAGGCTGAGGCAGGCAGATCACTTGAGGTCAGAAGTTTGAGACCAGCCTGACCAATATGGTGAAACCCCGTCCCTACTAAAAATACAAAAATTACCCAGGCACGGTGGTGGGTGCCTGTAATCCCAGCTACTTGGGAGGCTGAGGCAGGAGAATCGCTTAAGTGCAGGAGGTGGAGGTCACAGTGAGCTGAGATCACGCCACTGCATTCCAGCCTGGGTGACAGAGCGAGACTCCATTTCCAAAAAAAAAAAAAGAAAAATAGGAAATATGTATGTATCTTTTAGTCTGTGTACCTAAAGCCACCATGCAGGTAGTACAGGAATGTAATCATCATAGTTAATACTTACTATAACTAACATTTAATAATACGACTATAAGAGATTTAAAATGTCTTGTGTTTAACTTGACAATGCTTGCTATACTAGGTTTTTTTTTCAAATGTGATTAGGTTTGTATTTGGGATCAGGAAAGAAAGTCCCCCACAGTTTGGTTAAAAACTGTAGACATCTTCAATATAGAAAGAAAATTTTGGGGTGATTTTCTGGACCTCCCCAGTTCTCAGTTTGGCAAACTGTTAAGACTCTTCATCCACATTTTTCCCTCCGGTGTGTCTGGCTGCAGCACTAGAGACCCCCATCATCCAGGGTCAGGATGGGTCCCCTGAGCTACTGATTCGATCCCTGGTTGGGGGCCCGTCTGCAGAACTACTCCTGGACTTGGAGCGTGTGCTGTGCCGTGAGGGCAGCCCCGGGGGTGCCGTGAGGCCCCTCCTCAAGCGCCTCCAGCAGGAGACCCAGCCTTTCCTCCTGTTGCTGCGGACTCTGGATGCTCCGGGGCCCAACAAGACTCTGCTGCTGTCTGTGCTGAGGTGAGAGGCCTGTTGAGGCACCATGCATTGGGACGAGGGAAACTGGCAGACTTCAGGGACTTGACTTGTTTCTTTTCTTTTCTATTTTTTTTGAGACGGAGTTTCACTCTTGTTGCCCAGGCTGGAGTGCAATGGCGCGATCTCAGCACACTGCAACCTCCGCCTCCCAGGTTCAAGCGATTCTCTAGCCTCAGCCTCCCGAGTAGCTGAGATTACAGGCATGCACCACCATGCCCAGCTACTTTTGTATTTTTAGTAGAGATTGGGTTTCTCCATGTTGGTCAGGCTGGTCTCAAACTCCCGACCTCAGGTGATCTGCCCGCCTCAGCCTCCCAAAGTGCTGGGATTACAGGCATGAGCCACTGCGCCTGGCCTGACTTTACTCGTTTCTATCCCCTCACCAGGGTCATAACCCGACTGCTGGATTTCCCTGAGGCAATGGTCCTCCCTTGGCACGAGGTCTTGGAGCCCTGCCTCAACTGCCTGAGTGCCCCTGGCAGTGACTCTGAGGTACTAGAACCCTGGTAAGGGGAAGGGAGAGATGGGCAGCATCTGGGGCACCAACTTCCTTGTGAGGCTCTGGAGGGCACAGCAGAGCCTTTCTGAATGGATCTTGGGGCACTGGGATGGGTGTAGGAAGAGGAAGGGTAATGTAATCTAAGAGTCTCCAGAACTGGGATCTTTGAAGTATAAACCATTTTGATGATTTTAGATTTGGATTTTAAATTCTGGACTAAGGAGAAGCCCACATTCACCAATCCAAACAGCTCTCCTCCCTTCAGGGTTTGTGCATTGGAGAGCAAGGCTCAGTCCCCAGAGTTAACATAGCTTGGCCTGGCAGGAAGCAGCCTGGAAAGCTACGCCGAAGTTCTGTTCTGCCAACTCACTCTGGAGTCCCAGCACTCCTCTATTTAACTCCACCCTGACTTTGGCACTCTTGTTTCCCTGGGTGTTGGCATGTCTCCGCAATCTCAGCCACAACACTTCCTCTACTGAACCCTCTTCTCAATCCTTACATGTCCTACCTCTTGTTTCCTGTAAATGAATTTATGTGGCTCTGGACTCAGATTGTTCAGGAGCTGACCTGCTTCCTACATCGCCTGGCCTTGATGCATAAGGACTATGCTGTGGTGCTCTGCTGCCTGGGAGCAAAAGAGGTCCTCTCCAAAGTCCTGGACAAGCACTCAGCTCAGCTGCTACTGGGCTGTGAGCTTCGGGACCTGGTGACAGAGTGTGAGAAGTACGCACAGCTCTATAGCAACCTCACCTCTAGCATCCTGGCTGGCTGCATTCAGGTGAGGAGCGGCTGTGGGTATGCAGCTGAGAGAATGCAAGTCAGAAGCAGGGGAAGGGGATTCACTGTGTTCCTCTTTGGTATCCCTGTTTGGCACAGGCTGTAGCAAATCTGGGGCACTTGTTTCCTAACCTTGACTCTACATGGTTCTGTCAAAATGTGGGGAGAGAGGAGTTGAGTGTACCATTGACCCTTTACTTTTTCTGTCGACCTGTTTCTGGGTGTTTCTCTGTGTTCCTCCCTCTCCCCTTCCTCATTCTCCCTGATGTTCCGGCTGCAGATGGTGCTGGGCCAGATCGAAGACCACAGACGAACCCACCAACCCATCAATATCCCCTTCTTTGATGTGTTCCTCAGGCATCTCTGCCAGGGTTAGTGCCCTCATCTGCTTTCTCCTGGCTCCCATCCAGTGTCTGTTCTCCTCTTCCCTTCCTGCTCCCTAGACCTTTTCCTTTTCCCTCTCTCAACTAACCTGGCTGTGACCGCCACCCCTTCCCACTTGCCCCCAGGCTCCAGTGTGGAAGTGAAGGAGGACAAGTGCTGGGAGAAGGTGGAGGTGTCCTCCAACCCACACCGGGCCAGCAAGCTGACGGACCACAACCCCAAGACCTACTGGGAGTCCAACGGCAGCACCGGCTCCCACTACATCACCCTGCACATGCACCGTGGTGTTCTTGTTAGGTGTGAACACACATATATGAATGTTCTGCTGTGCCCCAGGATACTTCGCCAAAGCACCCAGATACACACAACCCCAGCTATAACCCACATGCCTGAGGGACACACTCAAACCTATTTTGTGCAGTGAACACATAGACACATTGACCTGCCTTTGCTGTGCTGAGTATAGACTTCCCCTCACTCCTGGAATCTGGTGACCTGTACCCCAACAGGTACAGATGGCACTGCCCTGTGCTTAGTGTTGAGGGAGATCAACAGCTCACTTATCCATTTCTCCTGTGGGCATTTGTTTAATGCCAGGCATTTGTGTCAGGCACTGTGCAAGGGTCTGGAAATAGAAGCGCAATAAGATATGGTACCTACATTCCAGCTGGGGAGCTACACTAGAAAATCAAGTAAGAGCACAGAGTAAGAAAAGGCATTGCTGTCCACATGTGGACCTGAGACTGACAGGCATCAGAGCAGACTTCCTTCTGGAAGGAGGGGGTGACTAAGCTGGGTTTTGACATTGAAATTAGGTAGATAAAGAGGGGGCAATATTCTAGGCACAAGGACAGCGTATGTGCGAAATTGAAGTAAGAAACTGTATTTGGAAGGACTTTAGTAGTCATGTTTTGCTGCAGTGAAAACTGTATATCTAAGTGGCAGAAGATACAGGCCAGAAAAGTAGGCAAAGGCAGATCACAAAGTGTTTTGTGAGCTAAGCAGTTTGAACTTTATTCCAAAACTTGGAGAGCCATTAGAAGATTTTAAGAAGGGAAGAGAAAACTAGATTTTTTTTCTTTTTCTTTTTTCGAGACAGAATCTTGCTCTGTGGCCCAGGCTGCAGTGCAGTGGTACGATCTCGACTCACTGCAAGCTCCGCCTCCCGGGTTCACGCCATTCTCCTGCCTCAACCTCCCGAGTAGCTGGAACTACAGGCGCCGGCTGCCACGCCCGGCTAATTTTTTGTATTTTTAATAGAGGCAGGGTTTCACCGTGTTAGCCGGGATGGTCTGTCTCCCGACCTCGTGATTCACCCGTCTTGGCCTCCCAAAGTGCTGAGATTACAGGCGTGAGCCATCACGCCCAGCCGAAAACTAGATTTTTTTATTGAGGAAGCTCACTCTGGCAATTGTGGGAATTAGGGTTGGAGATCAGAAGAAAGAGATGGAAGGTTTATGCAGTGGTCTAGTAGAAAAAGGATCCATGTGTTCAGTTAGACAGCAGGAGTGGGAATGGACTGGGAAATCCTCAGAGGTGGAGTCCACAAGGCTTGCCTTTGGGTGAGGGAAGCCATGAGAAGGTGAAGGCCACAGTGACAGTATTCTAGTTGAGTACTAGGTGCACAGAAGTTTTATTTCCCAGGGGAGAAATAGGAAGCGGGACAAGTTTACGTGGACAGATGATCATTTCATTTGGGCATGTTGACTTTGAGGCACCTATGGGACATGACATGACCTGTTGGGGACACAGCATGAAAGCTCAGGAGAGTGGTCTGGGATAGAGATGTGGATTTGGAGTCCTCTGTATATTAATTTTCAGTTGAAACCGTGGGTTTAAATTAAGTCACTTCGGCGGAATATAAAGGGAAAGCAGAGGGTCTTGTGGGGACAGCTGCGTCAGGAGCCAGCAGAGGAACAGGTGCCCGAGAAAGAAGTGGTGGCTTGAAATAGTTTTGAACTAAAACCAGGGCTCTGGCCTTTTTATTTCTTTCTTTTGATTTTTATTTTGTAGAGGTGGGGTCTTGCAGTATGGCCCAGATTGATCTTAAACTCCTAGCCTCAAGCAGTCCTCCCACCTCAGCCTTCCAAAATGTTGGGATTACAGGTGTGAGCCACCATGTCCAGAGGCCAAGCTTTGACTGTTTCCTTTCTTCTCTCCCAGGCAGCTCACTTTGTTGGTGGCCAGTGAGGACTCAAGCTACATGCCAGCCAGGGTGGTGGTGTTTGGGGGTGACAGCACCAGCTGCATCAGCACTGAGCTCAACACGGTGGGAACCCTTGTGCCCCCCTTCACCTTGCTCCACGTCCTTCTTTTTGTCCCAGTGCCTGTGGGAAGGACCTAGTCCCTGGGGAATGGTGACATCCCTTCCTCCTGGCAAGGCATTGCCTTGTAAGCAGTGAGAGTGGGATTAGGGATGCAGAGCCACGTCCATCCCTGGGCTCTGCAGGAGAAGTGAAGGGCACACACCATGACCAACTTGGTTACTGTCAACAGTTTTTCCAACCCTGTTTCTGGAGGTGACAGCTCTCTCCTTTCCCTCTTCTCCCTTGCCCTGCCAGGTGAATGTGATGCCCTCTGCCAGCCGGGTGATCCTCCTGGAGAATCTGAACCGCTTCTGGCCTATCATCCAGATCCGCATAAAGCGCTGCCAGCAGGTGGTGCCAGGGCATCAGCCAGGGCTGAGGAGGAGGAGGTGGCACAGGGTCTCCAGAGTGGCTGCATTCTCTAACATCTAGAGGCCAGGGCTTTAGCCAAGGTTTCTCCTTGATCTGCTTGGGAGATGGCCCAGGGACCTGTTGAGTCCCAGAGATGTGGGGATGTCCTGAGCAGTTCTAGGGAGCTCAGGGCAGGAGGCTTGGCTTTGGTAGTACTTAGTGGCTCAAGAGGCTTGGGTGACAGATAAGTCTGTGCATGTTCCAGGGCGGCATTGACACCCGGGTTCGGGGTGTGGAGGTCCTGGGCCCTAAGCCCACATTCTGGCCACTGTTCCGGGAGCAGCTGTGTCGCCGAACATGTCTCTTCTACACAATTCGGGCACAAGCCTGGAGCCGGGACATAGCAGAGGACCGTCGGCGCCTCCTCCAGCTCTGTCCCAGGTGGGTGGGGCCTGAGGAAGGAAGATGGGTAAGGGAACAGGGCACTAAGAAGTAGGAGGGATGCTTCTGTGGGAGTCTGGAAGGGAAAGCTGCAGCCAGGACATGAGGGGGAAGTTGAACATAGGTGAGAAGTTTGTGTTGATTGGGACAAGTTGGGTCAGGGACCTAACGGGTGATTGGGAGCTGATCTGCACTTGAATGGAGGCCTCTGGGAAATCAGTGCCTTTAATCCTCCACTGTGCACTGTTTGTTCCCAGACTGAACAGGGTTTTGCGCCACGAGCAGAATTTTGCCGACCGTTTCCTCCCTGATGATGAGGCCGCCCAAGCACTGGGCAAGACCTGCTGGGAGGCCCTGGTCAGCCCCCTGGTGCAGAACATCACCTCTCCCGGTAACCATGCTGACACCTGGCCCCACTAACCAGTTCCTTGTCCTTATTCCCAGGGATCACCTGAGTTAATGCTCTTGGTTCTTTTGGTTCCTGTCTTTGTCCCTGAAGGCCTGTCACCTCAATGTTCCTCTCTCCTTCCTGCCCCAGGCACTGCTCCCTGAGACTCTGGTATTTGAATCTTCCCCACTACCCCATCCCCGCCCTGTTACCATCTCCCCTGACTCCAGCTGAAGCAAACCTTGGTGAGGGGAGGACTAGGGCCCCACTACCCCTCAAGCCTTTTTGTACAATTGATCTTTCTCCCTCCTCTGCCCTGGGCTGTCTGTTCTCCCATCTCCCATGGAGACCTGTTCCTGACCTGTCTTCTTTCAGATGCGGAAGGTGTGAGTGCCCTGGGATGGCTGCTGGATCAGTACTTAGAACAGAGAGAGAGCTCTCAGAACCCCCTGAGTCGAGCAGCGTCCTTTGCTTCTCGAGTTCGTCGCCTTTGCCACTTGCTGGTGCATGTGGAGCCTCCTCCTGGGCCTTCTGAGCCATCCACTCGGCCCTGTAAGTCCCAACTGTGGCCAATAGAGCTTAGACTGCGGGCAGTGGTGTATCTGGCTCCCTTCTCCCTGGATCTTACTCTTGCTGCTTTGCTACCAGCCTTTCCAGGCCCCTGAGACTTCCTGGCCTTTCCAGGAGATCACTACCCAAGACTGGTGTACTCACCTAGAGGCTGAGATGAAACCTCTTCCTTCTCCCTCTGTCTCTACAGTCAGCAAGAACAGTAAGGGTCGGGACCGGAGCCCGGCGCCTTTGCCAGTGCTTCCAAGTAGCAGCCTGAGGAACATAACCCAATGCTGGCTGAGCGTGGTGCAGGAGCAGGTGGGCAGAAGCAAGCAGAAGTCTGCGGAGGGAAGGGGCTGCTCCTTTTATGTCATTTCTTGCCTTTCTCCTCAGGTCGGCAGATTCCTGGCTGCAGCTTGGGGGGCCCCAGACTTTGTGCCTCGTTACTGTAAACTCTATGAGCACTTGCAGAGAGCAGGCTCCGAGCTGTTTGGGCCTCGGGCAGCCTTCACGCTGGCTCTGCGCAGTGGCTTCTCTGGCGCCTTGCTGCAGCAGTCCTTCCTCACTGCTGCTCACGTGAGTCCCACCAGCTCCCCACAGGGCTATAAGGTCATGTCCCAAGTTCATCTCTTTCTGCTCTGCTCTTTCACCTCCTTTCGCTCCCCAGTCTCCTCCACTCCCTCATTCATGGTTTGCCCATGCCCTTTCCACTGCCCCCAGATGAGTGAGCAGTTTGCCAGGTACATTGACCAGCAGATCCAGGGTGGCCTGATTGGTGGAGCCCCTGGAGTGGAAATGCTGGGGCAGCTTCAGCGGCACCTGGAACCCATTATGGTCCTTTCTGGTCTGGAACTGGCCACAACTTTTGAGCACTTCTATCAGTGAGTGCAGGTCTGGAGGGGTAGGGGATGGGAGGCCTAGAACTGGAGAGTGGACAGATTGAGTCTTATAGGGGAGATGAGAAAAGAGGCTGTGCAGAGGAGAGAGAAAGATGTAGATGGCTGGCCAGGCGCGGTGGCTCACGCGTGTAATCCCAGCACTCTGGGAGGCCGAGGTGGGCACATCACCTGAGGTCAGGAGTTCAAGATCAGCCTGACCAACATAGTGAAACCCTGTCTCTACTAAAAGTACAAAAATTAGCCAGGAGTGGTGGCGTGGTGGCGGGCACCTGTAATCCCAGCTACTCGGGAGGGTAAGGCAGGTGAATTGCTTGAACCCGGGAGGTGGAGGTTGCAGTGAGCCAAGACTGCGTCATTGCATTTCAGCCTGGGTGACAAGAGCGAGACTTTGTCTCAAAAAAAAAAAAAAAGAGAAAAGTGGAGGTGGTCATGCATTGGTGGAAAGGGAGTGGGAGAGAAGAGGTGAGGTAGGGTGTGTGACTCAGGCAGAGGGACAGAGGGACCTACATTCTCGAGGGGGAGGCTGGGCCACGCTGCCACCCACACTGAGGCTTGGCCCGGGCTGTGTGTGCTGCAGGCATTATATGGCGGACCGTCTCCTGAGCTTTGGCTCGAGCTGGCTGGAGGGGGCCGTGCTGGAGGAGATTGGCCTCTGTTTTCCCAACCGCCTCCCCCAGCTGATGCTGCAGAGCCTGAGTACCTCTGAGGAGCTACAGCACCAGTTCCACCTCTTCCAGCTCCAGCGGCTTGACAAGTTGTTCTTGGAGCAGGAAGACGAGGAGGAAAAGAGACTAGAGGAAGAGGAGGTAAGAGCAGGGAGAATAGGAGAGTGAGAGAAGACTAGACCAAAGAAGGGAGCCCAAGGGCCCTTGAAATCCTTATGTCCTTCAGGAGGAAGAGGAGGAAGAGGAAGCTGAGAAAGAATTATTTATTGAAGATCCAAGTCCAGCCATTTCTATACTGGTCCTGTCACCACGCTGCTGGCCGGTCTCCCCACTCTGCTACCTGTACCATCCCAGAAAGTGCCTTCCCACAGAATTCTGTGATGCCCTTGACCGTTTCTCCAGTTTCTACAGCCAGAGTGAGGAACTAGGGAGAGGAAATTGGAGATCGGGGTGAGACTGGGGGTGGCAAGAAAGGAAGAGGAGAGGACCTTTGAACAGGATATAGATATGAAGAAAAATATCAGCTCCTACGGAGGGATGAGAAAGCATGGGTTGTAGTTTCATTAATTTCTGCTCTCATCAGTTCCTTTGACTTTCTATGAATTTGTTCTGTTTTCTTTTTCTAACATTGATTTTTAGTCTTTTCAGACTTTTTTCCAAATAAAAGTTTTTAAGACTTCATTTCCCCTCAATACTGCTTTAGTGGCATCCTATAAAGTTTTAAAAGATTTTTCTTTTTTTTTTTTTTCTGAGATGAAGTCTCACTCTGTCATCCAGACTGGAGTGCAGTGGTGTGATCTTGGCTCACTGCAGCCTCTGCCTCCTGGGTTCAGGTGATTCTCCTGTCTCAACCTCCCGAGTAGCTGGGACTACAGGCGTGTACCACCACACCCGGCTATTTGTGTATTTTTAGTAGAGACGGGGTTTCACCATGTTAGCCAGGCTGCTCTCGAACTCCTGACCTCAGGTGATCTACCCACCTCGGTGAGCCATTGTGCCTGGCCAAAAAGATTTGTCAGATTGGGATATAACTAGTATTCAGTAAAGTGCACAATTCTTAATTTTAAGGCTTCATAAATTATTATATTAATATACACCCATGTATCTACCTCCTTCACACCCCCATCAAGATACAGAACATTTCCAGCACTGTGGAAGGCTCTCTCCTTCATGCCCCCTTTCCGGTCAATGTCTTCTTCCAGGAGAAATCATTATTTTTAACCTTTATCACCATAGATTTGTGCCTGTATTTGAACATCATGTAAATGGAATCATACAGTATTCTGCTGTGTCTGATGTCTTTCACGAAACATACTGTCCGTGGGAGTGATCCAAGTTGTCAGGGGTATCATTCGTTTATTCATTTCTTTTGCTGAGTCATATTCCATTGTATGGATGTATTTACCCTTTCTGCTGTTGATGGACATTTGGGATGTTCCATAAGTTTTTATTATGTATTATTTTTATTATTGTTTAGTTCTAAGAATTTTTAAATTTCTATTATTTTTTCTTTATTTTGTTTTTCAGAAGAATATATTTTTAATTTCCAAACAAGTTTTTCTTCAGTAATTTTTTTGTTTTATATTTCTACCCTCATTCCCCTGTGGCCAAAGAGCATGGTTTCTATGATTCTGAATCTTTGCAGTTTATTGAGACTTCTTTATGGCCTAGTAGATGGTCATATTTTACCTGTTTCATGTGTGATTAAGAAGAATGTGTATTCTTAACTGGATTCTACATATTTCACCAAATTGACCTTGTTAATTGTTTTGTTTACATCTTCTGTAAAGTTAGTAGTGTTTGTCTACTTGATCTACTACTGAGAGAGGTGTGCTAAAATTACCACTATGATGGTGAATTTTTCAAAATTGCTAATCATACTGGTTTTACTGTATACATATTTTTTGGCTATTTTGTTAGAAGGTTAAAATAGTTTAACAGTGCCATCCAGTAGAACTTTCTACAATGATGGAAAAATTATTTTCTGCACTATTCAGTATGATAGTCATTGATGGAAATTAAGTACTTGGAATGTGGCTAATATAACCGATGAACTAAATAATTTCATTTAATTGTAATCAGTTTATTATTTTATTTTATTTTAATTTTTTTGAGACAGAGAGAGTCTCGCTCTCTCACCCAGGCTGGAGTACAATGGCTTGATCTTGGCTCACTGCAACCTCCGCCTCCTGGATTCAAGCGATTCTCCTACCTCACTCAGCCTCCTGATTAGCTGGGATTACAGGTGTGCACCACTATGCCCGGCTAATTTTTGTATTTTTAGTAGAGACGAGCTTTCACCATGTTGGCCAGACTAGTCTCGAACTCCTGGCCTCAGGTGATCCAGCTGCCTTGGCCTCCCAAATTGCTGGGATTACAGGCGTGAGCCACCGCGCTCAGTCATAATCAGTTTAAATTTAAATAGTTACATGTGGCTGATGGCTACTATGATGGACCATGCAGGTTTAGAAATTCCAGAGTCAATGAAACATTATTATGAAGTGACTTTCTTTCTAATAAAGCTTTTTGTCTAGAAGTCTGTTTTGTTCTGGTATTAATAGTATACCAACTTTCTTTGGTTGTCTTTCCAGTTTATCTTTTTCTATTTTTAGCTTTTTGTTTTTGCATGGAGAGAAGTTCTTAATCTTTTGCATACCTTTTTTTTAAATTGTGGTAAAATATAACTAGCATAATATTTGCCATTTTAACCATTCAAAGTATGCAATTTGTCCTTTTACTTGTATTTTTTGAGAGGGGGTGTCACTCTGTCACCCAGGCTGGAGTGCAGTGTGACGATCTCGGGTGGCTCACTGCAACCTCCGCCTCCCAGGCTCAAGTGATTCTCCCATCTCAGTCTCCCAAGTAGCTGGGACTATAGCTGTGCACCACCACTCCCGCTAATTTTTGTATTTTTTGTAGAAACACAGTTTTGCCATGTTGGCCAGGCTGATCTCGAACTCCTGGACTCAAGCAATCCTCCCGCCTCAGCCTCCCAAAGTGCTGGGATTACAGGCGTGAGCCACCGTACCTGGCTTCCTTAAACTTTTTAATAATGAAAGTTAGATCTAGAGGTTTCATCAGGTTCAGATTTTTTTTTCTTCGTGTATATTTCTGTGTATACCACACCTGGCTTATTCCTTTACTTAAAAAAATTTCTTTGGAAATAATTTCAAATTTACAGAAAAATTACAAGAATAATACAAAGAATACCTACATACTCTTTATCCAAGTTTACCTTTTGTTAACATTTTGTTAACGTTTGCTTTTACCATTTGCCCTTTGTTTGTGTATATGTGTGTATATATGTATGTATAGAGAGACTTTTGTTTTTCTGAACCTTTGAGAATAAATTGCGTATATGCTGGCCCTTTGCCCCTAAGTACTTTAGTACATATTTCCTAAGAATAAAGGTCTTCTCTTATATAACCACAGTTCATTTATCAATTTCAAAAATTTAACTCTGGTATAAGTATTGTGATCTATTTTCCGTATTCTTTTTTTTTTTTTTTTTTTGAGACGGAGTCTCACTCTGTCCCCCAGGCTGGAGTGCAGTAGTGCTATCTCAGCTCACTGCAACCTTCGCCTCCCAAGTTCAAGTGATTCTGCTGCCTCAGGCTCCTGAGTAGTGGGGATTACAGGCACCCACCACCACGCCTGGCTAATTTTTGTGCTTTTAGTAGAGACGGAGTTTCACCATGTTGGCCAGGCTGGTCTCAAACTCCTGCCTCAGCCTCCCAAAGTGCTGGGATTACAGACATGAGCCACCGCGCCCAGCCTCCATATTCTAATTTTTCTTTTCTTTTCTTTTTTTTTTTGGAGACAGAGTATCACTCTGTAGCCCAGGCTGGAGTGCAGTGGCATGATCTCGGCTCACTGCAAGCTCCACCTCCCAGGTTCACGCCATTCTCCCACCTCAGCCTCCCGAGTAGCTGGGACTACAGGTGCCCGCCACCATGCCCAGCTAATTTTGTTTCTGTATTTTTGGTAGAGATGGGGTTTTCACCATGTTAGGATGGTCTCGATCTCCTGACCTCGTGATCTGCCCGCCTCAGCCTCCCAAAGTGCTGGGATTACAGGCGTGAGCCACCGCGCCCGGCCATTCTAATTGTTTCAACTGACCCATCATATCTTCTATGACTTCATTTTTTGTCCAGGAAGGGATCAGTCTAGTATCACCTGTAACATTTAGTTGGCATGTCTCTTTAGTCTCCTTTAGTCTGGAATAGTTCCCCATCCGCCATCCTTTGCCTTTTATGACACTGACATTTCTGGAGAATACGGTCCTTTTACTTTTTTGTTTGTTTGTTTGTTTTGAGACAGAGCCTTGCTCTGTCGCCCAGATTGGAGTGCAGTGGCATGATCCCAGCTTATTGCAACCTCTGCATCCCGGGTTCAAGTGGTTCTTCTGCCTCAGCCTCCAGAGCAACTGGGACCACAGGCGCACGCCACCACACATGGCTAATTTTTTTGTACTTTTAGTAGAGACAAGGTTTCACCATATTGGCCAGGCTGTTCTCGAACTCCTGACCTCATGGTCTGCCTGCCTTGGCCTCCCAAAGTGCTGGGATTACAGGCATGAGCCACCGCGTCCGACCCCTTTTATATTTTTTATTTTATTTATTTATTTATTTATTTATTTATTTTGAGATGGAGTCTTGCTCTGTTGCCCAGGCTGGAGTACAATGGTGCAACCTCAGCTCACTGCAACCTCCGCCTCCCGGGCTCAAGCAATTCTCCTGCCTCAGCCTCCTGAGTAGCTGGGATTATAGGTGCCCACCACCACACCTGGATAATTTTTGTATTTTTGGTAGAGATGGAGTTTCACCATATTGGCCAGTCCAGTCTCGAACTCCTGACCTTGTGAACTGCCCACCTTGGGCTCCCAAAGTCTGGGACTACAGGCGTGAACCACATTCCTGGCCTACTTTTTAAAAATGGTTCCTCATTTTAAGTTGGCATATTTCTTCATGATTAGATTCAGGTTATGCATTCCCAGGCAAAATATTAAGTATGTGGCAGGCATGTACTTCTCAAGGCTTTACACCCTGAAGCACACAGTTTTCATCTGCCCCTTCTTTATGAGGTTAATTTTGTCAACCTGGCCAAGAGGTTGTTTGCTTTCTCCACTCATATAGTTAATATTTTTTCTCCTTGCTATAATTAATGAGCGGTCTGTCAGGGAAGATACTTTAAAATCATGCCAGTATTCTACTTTTGTTAGAATTTCCCCTGGGATTGTTTTGCTTTTAACCTGTCTCTTATACACATCTATTGTTTTGCTTTTAACTTTGCCATACCCTTAGTGTTTTAGGCACACGTCTTATAAAAACCTAGAATGTGTTTTTTGTTCAACCTGACAATCTCTTTTTAAGATGTCAATTTTAGCCCATTATGAGTAACAAATTCGTAATAAATTCATAAATAATAAACTCATAATGAATTCATTTATTATTCATTAATTGGCTGTTTCTAACTTCTTATTTTGTGTTTTTGTTTACTCTTCTTGTATTTAAAGAAGAATAAATTGAGCACCTATGTACATATGATTCTACCCTGGGTTTTTGTGCTGTCTTTTTTCTTTCTTCTTTTGGATTGATTGATCGTTTTTAAAAAATTTATTTTTTGTCTGTATCAGTTTTAGAACTTAGGCATTCTATTTTTATAATTGAATACCCTTGTATTTTTAACCTGTATCCTTGATTAGCTAATATCACTTCCTACCTTTCTGAACAATAAAAGGATCTTAGAAAATCTTAACTCCAGCTCTAATTCCCATATTACTTATTACTGTTGTTCCATATTTTAGAATTATCTTTTTTTAACCTCCAACATTGTCATTATTATGATTTATTCAGGGATATTTACATTTGCCACCATGCCAATTGCTTTAGCCACCATTTCCTTTGCCTCTTGATCCTCCTTCTTTTTAAAATACATCTGCTAGAAGTGCCTTCAGGCCGGCCATGGTGGCTGATGCCTGTAATCCCAGCACTTTGGGAGGCTGAGGCAGGCAGATCACCTGAGGTCAGGAGTTTGCGACCAGCCTGGCCAAGATGGCAAAACCCTGTCTCTACTCACAATACAAAAATTAGCCAGGCATGGTGGTACACGCCTGTAATCCCAGCCACTCGGGAGACTGAGGCAGGAGAATTGCTTGAACCTGGGAGGCGGAGGTTGCAGTGAGCCGAGATCATGTCACTGCACTCCAGTCTGGGGGACAGAGTAAAACGCCGTCTCAAAAAAAAAAAAAAAAGGTGTCTTCATTGAGGAGTTTGGTGGAAAACCCTACCAGTTTTTTTATTTGTCTGAGAAGGGTTATTTTCACCCTCATTTAAAAAGTCTTTTTATTATAAATTTCAAGCATATACAAATGTAGACAGACTAAACTCCAACATATATCAGCTCATGGGCAATCTTGCTTCAATCTGTACTCCCATCTATTCCCCCCCAAAATTTAAAAGATAAGTGCTCTTTCTTTTTTTTTTTTTTAAGAAAAGGATACTACAATTATCAAATATTTAGAAATTTGCAATTTGTATCAAGTATACAGTCATTGCTCATATTTCCCTGATTGCCTTGGAGTTTTTTGTTAGTTATTTTGTTTAGTGAGGATCCAAACAAGGTCCATGCATTGCATTTGGTTGCATTATCTTACATCTCCCTTACTCTATAGGTTTCCATCTCCCGTTTTATCCTCCTTGCAGTTATTTCTGGAGGAAAGTGGGTTATTCATTCACAGGCTGGATTTTCCTGATTGCATTCACATGGTGTCTTCAAGCATATTTCTCTGTCTCCTTTATTTCCTGAAAACTGATTTGTAGGTGTAGAGGCTTATCCAGATTTGGGTTTGATTTCTCGGGCAAGAACGCTTCAGTGGTGGTATGTGTCCTTCCACCAGGAGGCAGGTTCAGCCTGTCTCCCTTTGTGATGTTGAGAAGAATCAACGGATTTCAGTGTGTCAGTCATGTCTATACATTACATGTAATTTTCCATCAGCTTTTCACCAGGCAGGCGTTTCTACCATTGCTTAGGTCTATCATTTCATTAGGGGTTATGAAATAGTTATATCTAGTTCTGTCATTCCTTCTTCATGTATTAGCTGGAATGCTTTCAAGAGAAACTTCCTTTCACCAACTGTTTATTTACCCTGAAGTCCGGTTTATTCAGGAAAGGCTTGATGGTTTCCTCTTCCAATTATTTTTAACTAGTTTTAAAAATAATGTGTTGGTTCTCTAGTATGTTTTAAATATAACCAATGGGGTCTTTTAAAAATATATCATTATGAACTCATAGATTTTAAAATATTTTATGTGGTTCCATCACACATTGCAGATTTTTTTTTTTTTTTTTTTTTTTTTTTTTTTTTTTTTGATGCTCTAATTGTCCCGTCGTTGGTCAGAGAGCATCTCTCAGGTAGGCTCTTGGTCCCTTTAATACTCCCCCTTTGACAGCTTCCTTGCTTTCCAGTATGAACAGATGTCTCAAGCTCAGCCTGCCTGAGCTGTGAAACAGGAGGAGGAAGAGATCCAGCTTAGTGGGTCTTTAAAACTGTGAGCTCCTTGAGGGCAAAATGCAAGTGCTTTCTCTCTGGTGTTTTTGCATGGAACCTGCCTGGCTCAGGGCCAGGCTCTGGGTCTAGAGATGGGCTCCTAGTTACCTGTGGCTCACCAGGGAGGCAGGCGCAGAGAAGGCTGAGATCTGGAAGCTTGACAAGGTATCTGTCTGAAAATGCTGGGACCCTCCTCCCCGCAGGGACTAGCAGGAGCAAAGCTTGACACCTCAACCCCTAAACCCCTCGTTTCGCCCATTCCGTGTCTCCACCCTTCTCCTTGACACTTGCCTAGGTCAGAACCATCCAGTCCTGGACATGGGACCACATCGGCGACTGCAGTGGACGTGGCTGGGCCGGGCTGAGCTGCAGTTTGGGAACCAGACACTGCATGTGTCCACCGTGCAGATGTGGCTGCTGCTGAATTTCAATCATACAGAGGTGCTTCAGCCCTTAGCCTCTCTCTGTCTTCTCTGCCACCTTGTCTGTCGCTCTTCTCCTCCTAAACCCTGTTCCTCCTTTCATCCTTCCTCCCCTCTTCTCTTCTTTCCTTTGACTACTGACTGGGCATTTCTCCTCATCAGGAGGTGTCAGTAGAGACCTTGCTGAAGGATTCTGCCCTCTCCCCAGAGCTGCTGCTCCAGGCACTCGTGCCCCTCACCTCGGGGAATGGCCCTTTGACCCTGCATGAGGGCCAGGACTTTCCACACAGGGGTAGGTCACTGGGGACCGGGCTGAGCCTCTGCTGCTGGTCAGGGGGTCGCCCTCAGGATGGAGGGACTGTAGTAGGGGTGAGAATGGGGTCATCTTAGTCCCCATTCATCTGTCCCTCTGCCTCCTCCGGTACCTGACTGGGAGTGGGTTCCAGGTGTGCTGCGGCTTCATGAGCCTGGGCGCCAGCGCAGTGGGGAGGCCCTGTGGCTGATACCTCCCCAGGCATACCTGAACGTAGAGAAGGATGAGGGCCGAACCCTGGAACAGAAGAGGAATCTCTTGAGCTGTCTTCTTGTTCGTATTCTCAAAGCCCATGGGGAAAAGGGCCTCCACATTGATCAGCTGGTTTGTCTGGTAGGCAGAGAGGGGACCATGAAGTTGGGGGAGGGAGGGAATCATGCTTGGGATTGGGGATGAACACAGTGAACTCTTTCAATATAAGACTTCCGTAGGGTGACATTTCCATCTGGGTTTTCTGTGCCTGACAGAACAGATAGGATATAAAGATAAGGCATGAGTGTTTACCATGTGCCAGGCCCTACTCTAAGAGTTTGCATGATTAAGTCATTTAATCCAGCCGGGCACAGTGGCTCATATCTGTAATCCCAGCACTTTGGGAGGCCAAGGCGGGCGGATCACTTGAGGCCAGGAGTTTGAGACCAGCTTGGCCAACAAGACGAAACCCTGTGTCTACCAAAAATATAAAAATTAGCTGGGCATGGTGGCACATGCCTGTAATCCCAGCTACTTGGGAGGCCAAGGCATGAGAATCGCTTGAACCCAGGAGGTGGAGGTGGGGGTGAGCCAAGATTGTGCCACTGTACTCCAGCCTGGGCAACAGAGCAAGACTCTGTCTCAAAAAGAAAAAAAGTCATCATTTAATCCTCACAACAATCCTATAAATGTTATTTTATTTCATTTGACAGATAAGAACAGTGAAGTATGAAAAACTTAGTAGTGGCCAGGCGCTGTGGCTCACGCCTGTAATCCTAGCACTTTGGGAGGCTGAGGTGGGTGGATCACTTGAGGTCAGGAATTCGTGACCAGTCTGGCCAACATGGTGAAACCCCATCTCTACTAAAAGTACAAAAATTAGCTGGGTGTGGTGGTGCACACCTGTAGTCCCAGCTACTTGGGAGGCTGAGGCAGGAGAATCCAGGAGGCAGAGGTTGCAGTGAGAGATGGTGCCACTGCACTCCAGCCTGGGCAACAGAACGAGACTCTGTTGGAAAAAAAAGAGAGAGAGAGAGAGAAACTTAGTAACTAATCTACAATCACACAGCTAGTAAGTGGCAGAGCCGCCAGACACCGTGGCTCATGCGGGAGGATCACTTGAGTCCAGAGTTTGAGGGTGCAGTGGGCTATGATCATGCCACTGCACCCTGGCCTGGGTGACAGAGCAAGACTGTCTCTTAAAAAAAAAAGAGGCGGGGGAATAAGTGGCAGAGCTGGGCATTGAGCCCAGCAGCCTACTTCCTAGGTAAAAGTGGCCTTATTGTTTCTTTCCTCCTATCCAGGTGCTGGAGGCCTGGCGGAAGGGTCCAAATCCTCCTGGAACCCTGGGCCACACTGTTGCTGGGGGCGTGGCCTGTACCAGTACAGATGTCCTCTCTTGCATCCTGCACCTCTTAGGCCAGGGCTACGTGAAACGGCGTGATGACCAGCCCCAGATCCTGATGTATGCTGCTCCAGAGCCCATGGGGCCCTGCCGGGGTCAGGCAGATGTCCCTTTCTGTGGCAGCCAGAGCAAAACCTCCAAGCCTAGGTAGCCACCCCACCTGACCCCTTGCAGTGAGGTGGGAGAGGCTGTCATGCCAAAACCAATATCCCTTGTGGAGAAACACTTCCCTTCTTTCTTTGTCTAATCCCCTTTTCCCTATCCCTGTTATTTCCCTAACTTTGATAGTTTTTATTGACCCTCCCAGCACCACCACCCCTTTCCAACTGGGGCCTGCAAATATGTATTGATTGCTAACTATGTACTCTACTCAGTTAAATATACAAACTTTCAGGAAGTTTGTTCTACAGAGGAATTTGCCATAGGATTTCACTAATCAGCCAGCACCCCTAAAGCTTTTTAATGTTCTTTAGAAGCTGTTATGGCCCTGCTTTTTGTATCATGCTGTTTGCATCATGTGTGAAGTGAATTATCTCGAGTAATCTTTCTCAAACCTCAACAAGGAGCTAGTGTTAAAATGCAGATTTAACAGCAGAGCTCTCTGTGATGCCTGTGCTGCTGGTCCACAGACCACACTTGAGCAGTAAGGATGGAGACTGCTGTTCTCACTACAGGTGCTGCCACCATTTGGGGTGAGACCTACAGTGGGACTGTCCCATCAGCTATTGGTCTTTTAGCACCCTGACCCCTAGATACCTATTTTTCCCCAGTCATTGCAACAGCCAGCCCCACCCTGACATTTACAAGTGCTTCTGTGGAGGACCTACTCTGACGGTTGGTTTGGGTGGTTATCCTGAGGCTGGTTAGGCAAGCGAGCAAGTATGCTCAAGTAGGGAGCTGGGGGCCAGGTGGGGTTCAGTTAGTAGGCTGGATAACAGGGCAGGAATACTGACTTCTGTTTCTTCCCTCCCCACAAGCCCAGAAGCTGTGGCTACCCTGGCATCTCTACAGTTGCCTGCAGGCCGCACCATGAGCCCCCAGGAAGTAGAAGGGTTGATGAAGCAGACGGTGTGTCAGGTGCAGGAGACTCTGAACTTAGAGCCAGATGTCGCTCAGCACCTTTTGGCTCATTGCCACTGGGGCGCCGAACAGCTGCTGCAGAGCTACAGTGAGGACCCTGAGCCACTGCTGCTGGCAGCTGGGCTGTGCGTACCCCAGGCCCAGGCTGTACCCGCACGGCCTGACCACTGCCCTGTCTGCGTGAGCCCTCTGGGGTGTGACGACGACTTGCCCTCTCTCTGCTGCATGCACTATTGCTGTAAGGTGAGGCCCCGCCAGCATTGCTCCTGCCCCTGGCTTTCTGCCCTACCCTAACAAAATTCCTTGGGAATTCTTGGGTTCTAGCCCAGCACTGCCATTTTCATCACTGGGCAATAGTGGATTTAGTCTCTTAGTCCCTCTTAAACTAGTTTTGTCATCTGTAAATGGTACCACCTGCCTTGACACTCTAAAGGGTGGTGGTTAGGATCTAGCGATATGTATCAATGGTTCTCCAGCTCAGCTTCATATTATAATCACCGGAAGCTTTTATAAGTCTTAATGCCCAGACAATACCTCAGACTAATTAAATCAGAATCTCTGGAGGTGAGAAATCTGGAGGAAGTTTTAAAGCATCCTCACGGGATTCCCATTATCAACCAAGTTAGAATAAGAGATATATGTGTAAAATAGATGTCAAGGCACTTTGTGAAGTGTTTGCAAAAGTGTTAGTAGATTGGCGATAACTCTAGTTTGTGGTTGCCCTTATCACCATTTAAGTCCCCTCATCTCAGCGCACTATCACTACTTTATCATACACTCTCACTTAATACAAAAATTTTTTTTAAATGGGCCTGGTGAGGTAGTGTGCACGCCTGTAATCACCTTACTTTGGGAGGCCGATGTGGGCAGATTGCTTGAGCTCAGGAGTTCGAGACCAGCCTGGGCAACATGGCAAGACCTCGTCTCTACAAAAAACACAAAAATAAGCTGGGCATGGTGGTGCACACCTATAGTCTCAGCTACTCGGGAGGCTGAGGTGGGAGGATCACCTGAGCCTGGGAGGCGGAGGCTGCAGTGAGCCAATATCTCACCACTGCACTCCAGCCTGGAGGACAGAGTGAGACCCTGCCGTAGGGTCTTCTTGCTGTATAGGCTTGCTTCTGTACAGCGGACACAGAGAAGCTTGCAGATGGGGAGTGAGTCATCTTCAAAAGTAAAAAAAGTGGGGCTGAGGTACAGAGAACCTGGAGCACTGAGTCCGATATTCCCTGCCTCACAGCTCTTTAGAACTGGTGCCAAGCCCAAACACATCAGCTTAGCAGGAGGGGCACTCCTGGTTGCCATGAATTCCAGCTGCTTCTCCCAACAGCGTTTCCCCAGTAGTGGGTGATAGACGTGTCTGCATGTGTTGTGTGCACATGCATGCGTGTGTGTGTGTGTGTATTCTCCTTTTCTCTTTCCCTTTGGCTCTGCTTCTGGCTCCTCCTCTCACATAGTTGCTTATGCTCCCTTTTCCCCAGGTTCTTAATTATTTCCTTTACACTTCCATTTTTTCATTCAACAAATATTTCTCATGGACTTATGTGTGTAGCACTGGGTGCTAAATGAGGTATTGAAAAAAATCCCAGCAAGAAATGACCAGAGAGCTAATAATATTGATGGGAGCTCACTCTGAGCCAGGCATTGTGCTGTTTACATGCATTATTTTACTTAATTCTCATTCTAGTTATATGAGGTAGGTATTTTTGTTACTGCCATTTTTCATGACAGAGGGAGACACTTGGAGGTGAAGTAATTTGCCAAAGGTCAGGATTTGAATTTTGGCAGTCTCAAGCAATCCTCCCGTCTTGATCTCCCAAAGTGCAGTAATTACAGGCATAAGCCACCACACCCAGCCTGACAGTGGATTTTATTTTATGAGAAGCCATGGTGGGTTTAAGCAGAATAGTGATATGATCTGGTTTATATTTATATTTTATTTATTTATTTATTTATTTATTTTTATTTTATTATTATTTTTTGAGATGGAGTCTCACTCTGTCACCCAGGCTAGCGTGCAGGGGCGTGATCTCAGCTCACTGCAACTTCCGCCTCCTAGGTTCAAGCGATTCTTCTGCCTCAGCCTCCTGAGTAGCTGGGACTATAGGTGCCTACCACCATACCCAGCTAATTTTTTGTATTTTTAGTAGAGACGGGGTTTCACAGTGTTAGCCAGGATGGTCTCGATCTCCTGACCTCGTGATCTACCCGCCTCGGCCTCCCAAAGTGCTGGGATTACAGGCATGAGCCACTGCGCCTGGCCCTACAGTTTTTAAAAGATTGCTTCTGCCGTTATATGGAGAAAAGGCTTGGATGGAGCAAGAGTGGAAGCAGAGATGTCCATTTGGTGACTGTCGTACTAGAGGCAAGAGATGGTGGTAGTTTGGACTAGGGGCAGTGGCGATGAGAGAGGGCAGATTGGGACACATTTGGAAGTGAAGCTGATGGGATTTGGTGGGGTTAGATTAGGGTCAGAGAGGGGAATCAAGGATGGTTCCTGTGCTTTTGACCTGAGCATCTGGGTGGATGGCATGTGTCATCTTTACTCTGTTGTGGCCCTGTGAAATTTGAGCTGCTTGTTGGACACCTGTGTGGAACTGGCAGGTAGACAGTGGATTTTTGAATTTGGAATGAAGCAGAGAGGCCTGGCAGGCCTTACCCAAGGAGAAAGAAGCAGACCCAGGGTACCAAGCTTGTAGAGATATAGAGATGGGGGGTCGCAGGAGTTTGAGACCAACCTAGACAACAATAGCAAGACCCTGTCAATACAAAAAATAGAAAAAAAATGTACCCAGGCATGGTGGTGCACACCTATAGTCCTACCTACTCAGGAGGCTGAGGTGGGAGGATTGCTTGAGTCCAGGAGATTGAGGCTGCGGTGAGCCATGATTGTGCCACTATCCTCCAGTGTGGGTGACAAAGCGAGACCCTGTCTAAAAAAAGAGAGAGAGACAGACAGACAGACAGACAGACAGACAGACAAGGGGCCTGAAAACCAGGCAGATGAACAAGCTGATTGAAAAGCCCCTGCTGAGGAGGAGCCCGTGCAGCATTAGTCACAGCTGAGCGGCACAGCAGCAATGCAAGAGAAGCAGCAGGACAGCTCCCAGGGTGAGCCCCACCACTTGGGTTGGACAATAGTCATGAGAGCGGATGGGGGTCCCCAGACTGAGATGCCAGGTCAGAGGGGGATCCTGAGGCACCAGTGTGCCTATAAGAGTAGGGTCTGAATTCAGAGAAAATTTTTCCTGTTCTATCTCAAAAATGCAAGAATTTGCATTCAATTTCCCAGCCTTGTCTGGGTTTGTTTCAATGCAGAAAGGGTTTTGTTTACTTTGGTCTGGTACTTTGAGTAAAAACGATCTAGTTAGGTGCTTCACATTTATGCTGCAGCTTTGATATGACAGACACACGGTCTCCTGAGGGTTTAGACCCATCATGTTGGAAAGCATGGCCATAGGCAGTGTGAGAGGCAGGGGTTGTTCATGGAGTATTGTAGGAGGCTCAGACGGCTGTGACGGCTGCTCGTGCATAGACCAAATGGATGGTGTGGGGAGAGACCGGGAGAGGAGACCATGGATCAGAACAGGCTCTCACAGTGGTTTAGGGATGAGGGGATAATGGCCTGATTTAGGATGGGGGAGTGACATGGGAGCAAGAGAACAATATGAAGGTTCCGACACTGGTGACGAGGGGGACGGTGGTGCAAGTTGATCAGGGTTTGGGGGAAACGTAATGGGCAAGTCAGTTTTGTAGAGAAGAGGCTGGGTCTGTTGGAGACGTGAGTCGGAGACAGGAGCATCCAGACAGTTATTGGAGATAAGCCACTGGAGTTGGGAGGAGAGACCAGAGCTGTGTTGTCAGCCACCCAGGCGACCCATTTCCCAGGCCTCCTTTCTCTCGGACCTTCCTGCTCTCTGCATATCTTTCTTTTTTTTTTTTTTTTTTTTTTTTTTTGAGACGGAGTCTCGCTCTGTCACCCAGGCTGGAGTGCAGTGGCCGGATCTCAGCTCACTGCAAGCTCCGCCTCCCGGGTTCACGCCATTCTCCTGCCTCAGCCTCCCGAGTAGCTGGGACTACAGGCGCCCGCCACCTCGCCCGGCTAGTTTTTTGTATTTTTTAGTAGAGACGGGGTTTCACCGTGTTAGCCAGGATGGTCTCGATCTTGTGACCTCGTGATCCGCCCGTCTCGGCCTCCCAAAGTGCTGGGATTACAGGCTTGAGCCACCGCGCCCGGCCTCTGCATATCTTTCTTAGAATTTGAATCATTCTCCTTTTTCTTGATTATTTTTACCCATTCTCTCCTTGTCCATCCCAACAGTAATTATGATTAGGCAAATACACAGCCTACCCTATCCTCAAAGACAACTGTAATTTGGGCCAGTCTCAGTGAAGCCGGAGAGAGGAGTCAGCATTGTTTGATGTAGAGGCAGGCTTGTCTCTGGGCTTCCACGTTGTAGTGGAGGGGAAGGGAAGGAGGGATGCTACCTTAGTTACCAGGACACTCCCCCTGTGCTGCTCCCACACTGTCTCTGAGCAGCCCCTCCTTTTGTCCCTCCCAGTCTTGCTGGAATGAGTACCTGACAACTCGGATAGAGCAGAACCTTGTTTTGAATTGCACCTGCCCCATTGCCGACTGCCCCGCCCAGCCCACCGGAGCCTTCATTCGTGCCATCGTCTCCTCGCCAGAGGTCATCTCCAAGGTATCCTCTCTCGTCTGAGAGAGGCTCCAGTGCAGAGCCAAAGGAGTGTGCCCCAGGGAGTGGGCCGAGCTACGGGGTCTGGGGGCCTGGAGGTGTGGCATCCTGGAGAGCTATACCCTCACCTTGTGGCACCTGCGTCTCCACAGTATGAGAAGGCGCTCCTGCGTGGCTATGTGGAGAGCTGCTCCAACCTGACCTGGTGCACCAACCCCCAGGGCTGCGACCGCATCCTGTGCCGCCAGGGCCTGGGCTGTGGGACCACCTGCTCCAAGTGTGGCTGGGCCTCCTGCTTCAACTGTAGCTTCCCTGAGGTGGGAGTCCCACACTGGCCCTGACCCTGAGCAAGGATTCACACTCCTTCCCTGCTTAAGACCCCCTCCCTGCCACACACACAGACTGTGACTTGTCCTTCCTCAGCCTCTGCCTCCCAGTTGAGCCCTGTTCCTCTTCCTGGAGCCCTCCAAATGTGACCTGTGCCTGCTCCCCGCTCTCCTGTGCACACCAGCCGTGCTGTTCTCGGGACTTAGCTGTGTCCCTACCACGCCCTCTTGCCCTAGGCACACTACCCTGCTAGCTGTGGCCACATGTCTCAGTGGGTTGATGATGGCGGCTACTATGACGGCATGAGCGTGGAGGCACAGAGCAAGCACCTGGCCAAGCTCATCTCCAAGCGCTGTCCCAGCTGTCAGGCTCCCATCGAGAAGAACGAGGGGTGCCTGCAGTAAGAAGGGGGGTACTGTGGGGAGCCAGAGGGCAAGGGGAAGGAGGAAACCTGGCAGAAGGAGGGAGGAACGGGCTTAGTGTAAAGCTCAGCAAAAGAGGGTGGTTCCTCAGCCGCCCCTCATGTGGCAGCCTCCACAGTGGCTTCCTGGATCTTAACGTTCCTTTTCCCACTCGTAAGTCCACACTGAGCAGGGGTGCATTCAGCAGGGCTGGGTATGACTAAGGAGACTTATCAGGGCAGGAGCAGAGGCCACAGCATCAGCAGCGGTGCATCTGGGCCCTTGGCATTCCTGGCACGCCCCTGCCCAGAGGCAGGAGTCCCTGACCAGCCAGCTTCCTCCATAGCATGACCTGTGCCAAATGTAACCATGGATTCTGCTGGCGCTGCCTCAAGTCCTGGAAGCCAAATCACAAAGACTATTACAACTGCTCTGCCATGGTAAGGCGTTGGGCACTGGGGGAGGGCAGAGACCCAGAGCCGTTGGGGAGGGGTGCTGTTACCAGGTCCTGGGCAGACCAGGCTCCATGCACAGTGCAGCGTTCTGGCTGTTGGGACAGAGGCTCAGTGCAGGGAAGACAGCCACCTGGGCCTGCAGATGCTGGAAAGTCTGTTCATAGGGAACTTCAGCTCCAGAACAGGACTTCTCATACCGAAGTGGCTACAGAAAGGCTGGGGAGGGCCAGACACTCTCAGGAGGCAGCAGGGCAGAGCAGGAAAGAGCAGGGACCCTGCAGTCAGAGCCTGGCTGTGCTGCTTAGCATGTGGCTTTGAGCAAGTTCATTTGCTTCTCCAAACCTCAACAGCCTCTGCAAAAGGGGTGAATAATATGACCTACCCCACACAGTCTTAAGGACTGAATGAAGATAACCAGGGGAGGTATAGAAAGGCCTCCATGAATGTTGGCTTTTCCACTTATTAACTCCTTCCTGTCCAAACAAAACACCCAATAGCCCACTCAACATATCCTTGCTAGGTAAGCAAGGCAGCTCGCCAGGAGAAGCGGTTTCAGGACTATAACGAGAGGTGCACTTTCCATCACCAGGCGCGGGTGAGCCGGGAGGAAACAGCGGGTAGATGCCTGCAGAAGCAGGGTGGGGTGGCGGGGTGGAGGCGGGTGGGCTGAAGGTCTGACCAGGCAGGTGGTGCCGCGCCACCTGTGCTGGTGCTGATACACCTTCCTCCACACAGGAATTTGCTGTGAACTTGCGGAACCGGGTGTCTGCCATCCATGAAGTGCCCCCGCCCAGATCCTTCACCTTCCTCAATGATGCCTGCCAGGGACTGGAGCAGGCTCGGAAGGTGGTAGTGGGTGGGGGAGGAGGGCAGGGGAGGGGTGTGCCAAGGGGTCTGGGGAGCTTGGCTGCTTTCATGGGTCTTGCCTGGATGAAGGGAATGAGGAGAGGGCAGGCGGGAGAGCTGACGGGAGCCCTTGCAGGTGCTGGCCTATGCCTGCGTGTACAGCTTCTACAGCCAGGACGCAGAGTACATGGACGTGGTGGAGCAGCAGACGGAGAACCTGGAGTTGCACACCAATGCCCTGCAGATCCTCCTGGGTGAGCCACCCCTGCCAGCCAGGCCCTCCTCCTGCCTCCTCCCCTCTGCTGCACAGCCCAGCCCCTCCCAAACAGGTCAAGCCGCAGCCCCACCTTCCCTCTCTCCTCTTCCTCTTCATTCTTTTTTTTTTTTTTTTGAGACGGAGTCTCGCTCTGTTGCCCAGGCTGGAGTGCAGTGGCCGGATCTCAGCTCACTGCAAGCTCCGCCTCCCGGGTTTACGCCATTCTCCTGCCTCAGCCTCCCGAGTAGCTGGGACTACAGGCGCCCGCCACTTCGCCCGGCTATTTTTTTGTATTTTTTAGTAGAGACGGGGTTTCACCATGTTAGCCAGGATGGTCTCGATCTCCTGACCTTGTGATCCGCCCGTCTCGGCCTCCCAAAGTGCTGGGATTACAGGCTTGAGCCACCGTGCCCGGCCCCTCTTCATTCTTCATAGCCTTCTCACTGCCTGGCTGTTAAAGTTCAGGTCGAAAGCCTCCATTGTAAGGTGCCCAAGGGCGCAGATGTTTGCGGAGATGTTTCTTGGTTTCTGGTCTCTACCCTGCTCCCCTAGGGAGCTTCATGAGAATGTCTAGAGCTGCACCTGGCGCTTGGTAGATGTTCCATAGGTGTTTGTTGGAGGAAAGGATGGATGAGAATGAGAAGGGAGAGAGCCTCTCTGTCTGCTCCCTCTGCAGAGGAGACCCTGCTGCGGTGCAGAGACCTGGCCTCCTCCCTGCGACTCCTGCGGGCTGACTGCCTCAGCACGGGCATGGAGCTGCTCCGACGGATCCAGGAGAGGCTGCTTGCCATCCTGCAGCATTCCGCCCAGGTACTCCCTGGCCCAGACCCCTTCTGCTCCTGCGTTCTGCGGGAGTTGTGGTCCTCCTGTCCCAGCACAGCCCCTGCCCTGGGGCGAGTCCAGAAGGAAAGGCAGCAAAGCGGGTGAATGGATGTTAGGACACCTGGGTGCACATCCCGGCTCCTAGGCCAACCTGCCTGATGCTGCTGGACCCTATCACTTCACCTCCTGGGGATTCCTACAAAATAAAGGAGTTGGCTAGCCCACATCAAGGGTATTTGGTCAGGTGCCTATCAGAATCACTTGGGGAACTTTTCCAGACTATACTTCCCAGATATGGATTTGAAATCCTAGGAGTGGGCATCAGGGGATTGGGGTCACTGGAGCAAGGGCTCTCCCAGGCTCTCGCCAGCTCTAATGCACTGATGCAGAGTCTAAACTGAATCCTGTCCTCTGGTTGCTTACTGACTAGTAAGTCACGTGGGCAGAAAAGACATACATAGATTCTGTAAGCTCTTTAAGCACAGGGTGGTGTGCCTCACCCTGGTACCCCGTATCTCTGGAGACCATCTGTGAGTGAACTCACAAAGGCAGTGGTTCATGGAGTGCTGTGCTGGGAGGGGAGGAGTCCTAGCAAGAGCTTGGCCCTCACAGAGCATCAGTGGCAGGAATGCTGGGTCCAAAGGCCCCATGCCCTCTACCTCCTACTTCCCAAATCCTTCTGTCTGCTCACCAGGATTTCCGGGTTGGTCTTCAGAGTCCATCAGTAGAGGCCTGGGAGACAAAAGGACCCAACGTGCCCGGCAGTCAGTAAGTGGGGTGGGCAGAGCCATGGAGGAGGCAGTGGGACATGGCAGCCTCCTCCGGGCTGAGTGTGGTGGCTTTCCCTAGGCCCCAGACCTCCTCAGGGCCAGAGGCGGAAGAGGAGGAGGAAGACGATGAGGATGATGTGCCCGAGTGGCAGCAGGATGAGTTTGATGAGGAGCTGGACAATGACAGCTTCTCCTACGATGAGTCTGAGAACCTGGACCAAGAGACTTTCTTCTTTGGTGATGAGGAGGAGGATGAAGATGAGGCCTATGACTGAGGGGGCAAATGCAGGAAACACCTAGAGCCGCCCCAGAGTCACGGGGCTGCGGGGGCAGGAGCTGCCCCTGTTTGTCATGGGGAGGGGATTCCCAGCGTCTGCAGTGCCTCTTTCTGTTTATTGAATAAAGGCCTCTTTCTCACACACGTCTCGGAGCAGGCTGACAGCTTCACCGGGGGCCAATCAGTTGCCACTGCCCTGGCCCCACATCCACCCACACCCCTAATCTTTACTGTTTCCTTTAGACCTCTGGACTCTTCTATCCGCCGAGAAGGCTCAGAGCAGACTCATCTGACCTAAGCTGATAAAGGGAAGTGAAGGTTGGCATGGAAAGGGCCAGGTGCAGCTCGAGCCCAGTTCAGAGGAGACAGAGCGGGGTGGCCACCCCCAGGAACAACCTTCCTCCCAACTCTTTTTTTTTGTTTGGTTCTGAGATGGAGTTTTGCTTTTGTCCCCCAGGCTGGAGCGCAATGGCTTGATCTCGGCTCACTGTAGCCTCCGCCTCCCGGGTTCAAGCGATTCTCCTGCCTCAGCCTCCTGAGTAGCTGGGATTACAGCCATGCATCACCATGCCCATCTAATTTTTGTATTTTTAGTAGAGATGGGGTTTCCCATGTTGGCCAGGCTGGTCTCAAACTCTTGAGCTCACGTGATCCGCCCGCCTCGGCCTCTCAAAGTGTTGGGATTACAGGCGTGAGCCACTGCACCCAGCCTTTCCTCCCAACTCTTGGCTCACTGCAAGCTCCACCTCGTGGGTTCACTCCATTCTCTTGCCTCAGCCTCCCGAAGAGCTGGGACTACAGGCACCCGCCACCACGCCTGGCTAATTTTTTGCATTTTTAGTAGAGATGGGGTTTTATCGTGTTAGCCAGGATGGTCTCGATCTCCTGACCTTGTGATCCGCCCACTTCAACCTCCCAAAGTACTACGATCACAGGCGTGAGCCACCGCGCCCGACCCTCCTCCCAATTCTTAAGTGTTCCTGGGGAGGAAGGGGCTTGAGGGCATTTGGAGTTGTCCTCCTCTCGGCCTAGAGATTTCTAAAGCATCTATCTTGAAGTGAAGTGTGGCAGGACTCAGACAGAAAGTTAGGATTTTAACTGTACCTTTTAATTTGCTCCTGGGGCTAAGAGGAAGGAATGGTACTTAGAGCAGTGTCTGAGAACAGAAGAATTTAAGAAAGTGAGATTAAGTCAAGTGGGTGGGTCAGGGGAGGCAGCCACCTGCCCTGGAGGATCAGCCTCGAAGTATCGATCCAGCAGCGCCTCCACCTCTCCCTCCTCATAGTCCCACACCTGGAACCGAGAGCCATCTGCTGCTCCCCGGATCATGGCCGAAAGCACTGGAAAGGGCAGGGAAAGGTGGAGCTGCCTCCCATCCCCATCCTCACAGCTCCCTTCCCCCTTCCCTGTTGAGGGAGGCTCGGTGCTCAGAGCCCACCAGGGAAGGAGCTGAGGGCTGGGTCCACAGAAAGCCAGGAGGGAGGCTTGGGGTGCTCACCACGGCCAGACTGCGGGCGGAACAGGCATAGGATCCGCTTGTTGAAGGCCACAGCCCGGCCCAGCTCATAGCCTACACCCAGGGATGGCTGTGTCACTTCTGCCACGACCACTGGGAAGAAAGACGAGAGGAAGCCTCAGCATTGGGGGCACTTGGGGTTCATAAGGAAGATGGCGATGTGGCTGTGGTGAGGAGGGAACTCTGGGAGTCCCTTCTAGGTGTGGAGGCTGGGATGTCCAGGGGAACCCAGCACTCCAGAGGAGTTAGGTGCTGGAAGGAGGGAGCGCCACTCACCATCCGCCTGCTGCAGCCACGCCAGGTCCCGCTCATGGATGAGCCTGTCACCCCCAGCAGCCTCTTCCCCTGTGTTGAGGGAAAGCTGGTCAGGGACATGCCTCATGCTGGCTCCTCGTAACTCCTATGCCCTTGCATGTCTATACCCACCCTGCTTAGGGAGGGCGAGAGCCTTGTGCTAGATGACCTGACCCAACATGACGATCTCATCAAAGCAGCGAGGAAATGAAATAGCCACAAAAAGAAAAATTCAGCCCTGTGCAAGGTGGGATGTGTGTGATTAGGGCCAAATGAGAACATGGGCAGCACATGAGAATGATTAGGGGAAGGTGCATGGGCACTTAGCCAAAAGTAGGAGAGGCATCCTGGGCCCAGAAGGTAGGGATCTCAGGTACTAGCTTGATTAAATGTTATCTTCCAGGACGGTGAGGCTCAGCCCACCACATCAGGTTAGGACCACTGGGGAGCTTGTTAGAAGTACAGATTCCAGGGCCGGGCATGGTGGCTCATGCCTGCAATCCCAGCACTTTGGGAGGCTGAGGCGGGTGGATCACTTGAGGTCAGGAGTTCAAGACCAGCCTGGTCAACATGGTGAAACCCCGTCTCTACTAAACATACAAAAATTAGCTGGGCATGGTGGTGCACACCTGTAATCCCAGCAACTCGGGAGGCTGGAGCAGGAGAATCATTTGAACCCAGGAGGCGGAGGTTGCAATGAGCTGAGATTACACCACTGCACCCCAGCCTGGGCAAAGAGCAAAACTCTGTCTCAAAAAAAAAAAAAAAAAAAAGTACAGATTTGGGCCGGGTGCAGTGGCTCAAGCCTGTAATCCTGGCACTTTGGGAGGCCAAGGCAGTAGGCTCACAAGGTCAGGAGTTCGAGACCAGTCTAGCCAACATGGTGAAACCCCATCTCTACTAAAAATTAAAAAATTAGCCAGGCGTGGTGGCAGGTACCTGTAATACCAGCTACTTGGGAGGCTGAGGCAGGAGAATTGCTTGAACCTGGGAGGTGGAGGTTGCAGTGAGCGGAGATCACTCCACTGCACTCCAGCCTAGGCGACACGGCAAGACTGTTGTCTTGGGGGGGAAAAGAAAGTACAGATTCGAAGGCTTTATCCCAGATGATCAGAACCTGCATTTTTAACAGGCTCCCTCAGATAACACTAAAGACCTGGAGAGCCACCAGGCAGTCTGGATATACCATGAACTAATGAGCTATAAGCTTCAGGGTCCTCCACTTGCACAGGCCCTTTCCAAACCATCAGCAACTTTGTATTGTGAGTTTTGTCTTTTTAAAGAGGTCTCCCAGAACTGCATGAGGTCCCACAAATTGTGGGTCTGCTCTTGGGTAGGGTAAGTGGAAACCACTTAAGGTTTTCTTAGCAGAAGCACAAGCATTCAAGACACAATTTTCAAACTAGAAGGACCTGCAAGATTCCAGACCAGCACATCAAAGTATGCTTTAGAGAAATCCAGCCAGACTCAGTGGCTCATGTCTGTAATCCCAACACTTTGGGAGGCCAAGGCAGGCAGATCACTTGGGCTCAGGAGTTCAAGACCAGCCTGGCCAACATGGCAAAATCCTGTCCCTATAAAAATACAGAAATTAACCAGGTGTGGTGGCGCACACCTGTAGTCCCAGCTACTTGGGAGGCTGAGGTGGGAGGATCACTCAAACCTGGGAGGCAGAGGTTGGCAGTGAGCTGAGATTTTACCACTGCACTCCAGCATGGGTAATGGAACAAGACTGTTTCCAAATAAATAAATAAATAGAAAAAAGGAAAAAGAAAAACCCAGCAGCCAGGAGCAGAACACAGTAACAGCCTGAAAGAGAACATGAGGCCAGCGTGGGGGCTCACACCTATAGTGCTAGCACTTCAGGAGGCCCACGGCAGGAGGATCACTTGAGGCTAGGAGGTCAGGACCAGACTGGGTAACACAGTGAGACTCCTGATCTCTACAGAAACATTTTGAAAATTAGCCAGGCATGGTGTCATGCCCCTGCAGCCCTTGCTAATAGGAGGCTGAGGCTGGAGGATTGTGAGTCTAGGAGGCCGAGGCTGCAGTGAGCTATGATCACACCACTGCACTCCAGCCTAGGCGGCAGAGAGGCCCTTGTATCAACAAAACAAAAACGTGAGAGTAATAGCGAGAACTGGGGTCAGCCGGGTCTAAGAGAGTGCTGATGTCTTCACAGAAAAAGGAGAGGCAGGCGCTGGGCGGTGGCTCATGCCTGTAATCCCAGCACTTTGGGAAGCTGAGGAGGGCGGATCACCTGAGGTCAGGAGTTCGAAACGAGCCTGTCCAATATGGTGAAACCCCGTCTCTACTAAAAGTACGAAAAGTAGCCGGGTGTGGTGGTGCGTGCCTGTAGTCCCAGCTACTCGGGAGGCTGAGGCAAGAGAATCGCTTAAGCCCGGGAGGAGATCGTTCAACTGCACTCCAGCCTGGGCGACAGAGTGAGATTCCGTCTCACAAACAAAACAAAACAAATAAAAACTTGGTGGGGAGGCAGGAGGATACCTTTCGTGTTGGGTGGTGGAAAAGATTCCAGCGGGTGAAGTGGGAACTGAGTCCAGGCAAAGCAGCCCAATCCACCTTCTTTCTGTTGCACCCTACAAACGCTCTGAAAGCAGCTGAAGACAGAGTTCTCCAAGAAGGAACCAAAGGTCAAGATAATGCTGAGAATGCCTCACACTCGCAGGCTTGCTGGGATCCACGCAGTCAGCGCCCCGGCCAGTTTCCTTCTCGGACTGGGGCGCTGGATGGAGCACCGGGGTAGGAGGGCGGGCTCCTGGCACCGGGAGCGCAGCTGCCGCGGTATCA